GTCAGGAACCAAAAGCAAGAACCAATCGTATTGAAGAATTTTACAACAGTTGCAAAGCCGCTTTCTCTGCTGAACGCAGCCATTGTCTGCTGAGATAGGACCATTCTTCTAGATCTAAAAGTATGATCCAATTAGCGCGAAGGAAACTTCCAACAGTTGCAAAACAAACGTTCTGCTGAACGCAGCCATTGCCTGCTTATCGTCTGCTATCGCCTTATAGCCTATTAATCAGCCAAGAAGACTAGAACTAAGGAGGATCAACTCGTGCCAATAGCGGTAGTGGGGGTGAGGCAAAAAGTGGCGATGGATCCCCCACTCTTGCGCTTCATTAGTCCTCTCTGTCGCTCTATATAGTCGTCGCTCTGTCGTTCTATAATCGTCACTTTGTCGCTCTTATTCTAACTTTCACACAATGCGCAGTGCTGCTGCACATTGTGTGAATAACTGCGGACGTTTTTTGACTCATCCCCACCACACGAGTTGATCCTCCTTAGTTCTAGTCTTCTTGTAATCAGCGTTCAGATTTTTCATTCTGTTTATATACGCTATAACCACAGTATAAGGATCATATAGTAGGATCAATACCCCGTTTTCGAGTCAGACGCGCAGATTTGCTTGCGCATTCTAAGCAGCCATAACTTTGGGTAGCCAATCCCGTTCTTAGTAAAGTGGCTATTGCATCTCCGTTAGTGTCACAGCTAGCAGTGGTACAGAACCAAAAGTTCGGATTACATTTGTGACTACCAAGGGAAATGTATCAGTGTTTCCAATGAATCTAATGAAAGTGAGTTACAACTTATCATCGACATATTTGAAAGATCGTGATTTCCTTGAATCTGAATATCCGGGGACCTCTCGGCTTTTTTTTTACAATATTGAAGAGTGCCTGAAAATGGATTTTTTACGTTGTCCGTTAATTCAACTTAGTTATTACTTTGTATAGCATTTCTTTGCTTTATATGTTATATTTATTGAAATCTTACTACAGTTGGTTCCTTGTCTTTGTGTATAAGTGTTTTATAGTTTGATAAATGTTTTTGTTTAATTCTTTTATGCATGTGACAATTGTGCATGATTATTAACTTATGACTCAAGTTGTACTTTGACATAACTTGTTATATTGTTATTTGTGATTATGTACAGTAATGTTTACTTGCTATTGGTGCTCTTATGTCATTGAATTACTTGTCTGTTTTATATTAGTATAATTAAAGTATTTTTAATATTATATACAGTCATTTCACTAATTCAATATATTCCTTTGATTTATTATTCGGAAACTTGTAATTATTTTCGTAATATAAGCAAAAAAATTTACTAATGGCGATGGTCCCTAATACTATTAATACGGTACTAACCTCCCGATTTAATGGCGGAGCCAATAGGATCTCTAGCGCAGTCTGATGCGTCTGAAGAAAATCAAAGGTGCGGACACTGTTTGATCCTACTGGCTGCGTTCAGCAGAGAAAGCAGCTTTGCAACTGTTGTAAAATTCTTCAATATGATTGGTTTATACGTTTAGATCTGTAAGGAACCAAAAGCAAGAACCAATCGTATTGAAGAATTTTACAACAGTTGCAAAGCTGCTTTCTCTGCTGAACGTAGCCACTGTATGATCCTTATACTGTGCTATAACCTTTTCACGATATCTGTCAATATCCGTAAGTCCGGATCTACAATAGATGTTTTAAGACTTAAGCCGTAAGAAACTGACCAATTACAGTCGAATCCGAGGGGAATAATCGATTGTGATTTGCCCATTTCTTATGGCTTAAGGTTTAAAACCCTATAGATCCTGGGTAAAGGCCATCACACGTACAAAAATTTTAGTCGTAATCGTAAGGTCGCAAGTAAATCGACCAATCACAATCAAAATTACGATCTCGCGTTTAAAAACGCTCGACTGTGATTGGCCGATTTGCTTACGGCCTTAGTCCGGATCTACAATAGGTGTTTTAAGCCTTAAACCATAAAAAATTGACCAATTACAGTCGAATTCGAAGAGAATAATCGACTATGATTCATCCATTTTTTATAGCTTAAAGTTTAAAACTCTATTGTAGATCCGGGATTACGATTACGACTAAAATTTTTGTACGTGTAATAGCCTTTATAGAAATACAAAATTTAAAGACAATGCATGGAAAGAGATGGCTACAATTTTAAATATTACAAGTAATTTTGAACTATAAATTAATATATTTATAAATTTGAAACTAATAAAGCTATATAAGCTATGCAAGGTGTTTGTTGCTAAAAATCTCTTCAAATATAAAAATATAACGACTCAGATGTTTATTATTAAATTGAAGGCAATTTTTGTCCTGTATATGACTTAACGTTTTTAGGTTACATCTACTGAAGCAGAAGAGCATACTACAGTATGTACGCGATCTGATTGGTTGGCCCTTATTTCTATTGTCGCATTGTGCAACGGGAGGCAATAGTTTATATATCTCTTATTTCTATATTATTCCTATCGCTATACTATCGCTATCGCCTCGCATTGTGTCTTAGGCTTAACTCATACAAGGCACTATAGGGCTATAGGACTTTGAAACATTGCCTCACATTCACTGTTTGCGAATTTTTATTATTATTATTATGTTAGAAACTCAAAAGTTAACACTTCAAAATAGAATACGTATGTTAATTAAGTTTGCACACTGAAAAAATATTTAAAAATTTTTAATAAATAAATCAATAAAATAATATAAGTGTGTGTGTGTGTGTGTGTG